TAGTCGATTCCGCATGCGATGAACCAATTAGAAAACTTTCGCATGTCTTTCCAAGACATTCATAATGAGAATATTCATGTTAATTGAATCGGTTTTGCGCTTTCTCTGATGAAACATTAGCGTTCACTTCACTCATATTTTCCTGGACGCAAGATTATACATATTTTATTAACCCTCATCACAGGAGTGCATATCTTCCTCTCGCAAAACTCTCTTCTTCCAATCCAAGACGTTTCTTTTGTTTTTATTTTTGCAGTGCTTTTTTATTTCTCGGTTAATATTTTTTCTGAACAAATACATTCATTTCTTTTGTGAATAATAAACAATTTACATGTATCTGAAGTGTTTCTATGCTTATGCAATGCAAATTTTTGCCTCGAAAGCATTTTTTCAAACCAACTTTTGAGTGCGGATCAACCATTTGGAATATCCAGTAATTTTTTAGACAAAATATGCTTAAAATTGTCTTAAGAACTTATTTGAGAAGTTTTACGTTTCCTTCCAGAACATTCTGTATATACATTCAACACGTGTTTCATTTGCACTTTTATTCATTATAAAGCTGGCCCAAATTTTTCAATTACGTTTGCTTGCTAGTAAATGGCACAAAAACTCAAACCAGCAGAAGGTTCGGATTATTGAATTTCTCGGTAACCATATCGATAGCGATGAAGCATATACACGCGAAAATGACGCTAAAACTCGTTTCCCACCATTCAATATCTCCCTTCTTGATTTCAATAGTTTAGGAAGCACACTTGTTACGTTGTAGTACATGAGCGTATGATTTACTCGTGCTTACTGTTTTAGAAACTAATTCAAACCCAACTGAATACTTTATGATAAATTTAAAATTGTTGACGACACTTTATTCCGATTAGTTATTGTCACAAAAACGGAACATTTTGTCGTCCCGATTTCCTTTCAAAAAATATGAAACAGGAACTTAAAAAAAGGTTCTGAACCGGCTAATACGGGACGTCTGGTCGCCTTTGTGTGGATGCCAACAATAAACATTTTTCTCCAGTCAGTTACTTTGCGTTTTCTTGCTTAATTATTCATTATAAAAACATCACCTTTCATAGCATACAAAGTTAATTTGAAAGCAACTGTTGCGCAACAATGATGAATTATTTAGTTCACCACTATGCTCCCAACAGTTTCTCATAATAGGCTACAAATTAAAATTACCTGTATACTTATTTTACAATTCAAAACACAGTAGTAGTGAAATTCCCTTCAAAGCTTGATAATAGAAGAAAATCTTGTTTGCAAGAATGGCCTCCTGGCTTATAGGAGTCATTCTAAACATTGAATCCTTAAGTGTGTTTAAATATAAACACAATGTTGTGATGATTTATCACAAGGTGTGTAAAGGAACGATTAATTCGGGTAAAATATATAAATAGAACAACAGCAACAATGGGAGAGAGGAGAAGTAATTGACCGAGTAATAACAAATGAAAATACAAGGGAATCGCGACATAATTAATATAAAGAAAAATTGGGAATGTACTTGTAAATAAATCAGTGTATGAGGTACACCTGAGGTGTTTCTGTGAGTGAAGAATTAAATCATGAAAGTAATTAGGAATCGATAATAAAATAATAAATAAATGAAGTGCTAGAATGATGTTGACCAAGCCAAAATTAAAAGATGTGTGAGAAGGGGATAGCCTGCGCACTGGGACGAAGAAGATGTGCAGTTGGGTGCGATCCCGCGTAGGGAAGAGGACAAGCAAACGGGGCAGGCGATATTTCGACGCCGAGAGGTGCGGAGGCGAGAAGATGTTATGACTTGGTAGCGATCGGATGGCAGAGACTCGTTTACGATTTGATCATCATCATCATCAGCAACAAGGTTTGGGCCTAGTGGCCCGTTCCGCTCTCAAGAGTCTCTTTCCATCTTGTGTGGGGTCTGCCTCTGGATCGTTTCCCCTTTGGTTTGTATTCGAGGATAGTCTTGGGAGGCCGTTCTTGTGGCATTATGGTTAGGGTAAGATTTTGTAGTGTATGTAAATTAGGAAATAGTAGAAAGAAAAACTATAATTGCGGGAGTGAGATGCCTTGGTTTGGCCGGGTTTCAACTAAAATGAAACTTTGAGTGGACGCGGAATGACGTTCAAGAAGGCTGAGGAACACCAAAGGAAAGCTACAAAATGTCGACATGTTAAATTCTATAAATGTATTAAGATCACGTTTTGAATTAAATTAATGCTTTCTAAATTAAGATTTAAAAAAGGGTAATGGACATGCATGCAAGGGGAGGGATTCAGGAAAAGAATAGTAAATAACAGTAATAAGGGTTTTATTGCATCATTCTTTGAGCTGTCGTACTTACAAAATGCTTTTTGTGTGATGTTTATATTTACAGCAGAATACAGATTACAGTGTTTGTTTAACTTGAAGTACAGATTGTTATTCCTTGGAGTAGTAAATAAAGTTCCCAATCACACATGAGAAGGAAATAAAAATATAATTTTTAATACCGAGCCTCTGTAAAGACGGTCTATCTGACTTACAAATACATTTTTAATGATGGGACAACCTCGATATATCCATCGAGCTACTGTCGGGTTAAAGGTATATAGAAATATTTAATAAAATTTAGGAAGAATAATCAAATAAAAGATATCAGGAAAATACCCATGTCAGAATGTGTTCCATGCACCATTATTATTTCTCTACTGAAAAATAATAAAGTTAAGGTAAAGTTAAAATAATAAGTCTACAAATATTAATTAGAACTCAGAAAAATGATCAAAATCATTTAATTATGTCTCTAAATCATAGACACAGCCAAGGTATTTCCAGTCGGCCAAGAAACGTAAACAAAAATCTACATTATAGATTACGTACATTAAAATCTTATAATCAATGAACGTACAAACAAAATTATAAACGAATAACTATTACTACTTCTCAGACAACCTTGTTAATACTTATATTACAATAAGTTAAATTAGAAGCTGTTATCCTACTCATACTTGGCGTCAATATCCTAACACAGAGCTTTATATGGCACAGACATGTTTACTTCACCTATTTTAACATGGCGGCCCAGGAAGAGCAATTGTTTTGGAAAAACACCTTTATTCTTTTTAAAAAATCAAATAAATTGTTTATAATTTGAAACCTTTACACACCACGTCTTCTTCAACATAAAAAAGTATGGCCATAAGCATGCTGGTTTGACAATAGCTGATTGAACAACAAAATATTTAACATGAATGTACGTGTAAAACATTTGATGTTAGCATATTACAAATATAAAAATGTAATCGTCAGTTGTACATACCCGCTCTGAAAAGTTCACCAGCAAAACGTATTACGAAGTAATGTTTTCACGGCTGAAAATATATTGAAACGTAATACGTGGATAAAGGGGTATAATTGCATTCGCGGTAAATAATAAAACTCGCTCCTATCGTTGTTCGTTGTCTTTAACATACCACTCATGTCAATAATCCCTCTTTATCCATTCATTTCGTTAATTACTATAATATTGTTAATTTTACTTTTAACAGCCGCGAACCAATGAGAGAGGTCAATGATGAGCGCAGTTTTTCTCTCTATCATTTCTCGAAAGAGGGAGATCCTTTAGAATTTTAGACAGCAGAAGTTTTATAATTTAGTTATTCCATATCACGTAAATATTAGCATTTAACAGATCATTAGAATTTTGACAGTCCTTACCCACCGTTTCGGTAATTATTTCACTATGATTAGGTTCATTGCTATGCAATAAAATTAATTTTAATTACTTGTTACACCACAGATCTTTAGTCTCCTTTCCCAAAATTAAAATATTGACATGTAAATTTCGTGTATTTATTTTTTTATAAGAAATTTTAAGAACCAATAGAAAAGATTCCTGTCTAATGGTTGCCATTGACTGTTCTGACCTCCCATGAGCTTTAAGGGGACAAGTTCTTTAGAGGAAGAAAATACATTATTCAATTGTAGAAAACGTGTTTCCTCTATCTTTGTTTTAGAAAGGATTTACTGTTTCATAGCTTATAAGTTTTATTATTAGAAACTTTCTTAACCCTAGCTTCGTTTTTCAAACAGGTTAGGAGCTCAGGGCATCTATTGGTATTCCTGCAGTGCCTCTGACCGAGAGGACGACCGGTTCGAGTCCCGACGGTGGCAGGAGTTTCGACACTAACTTGTCAGCTAGGTTGAATTCAGTAGCTGTCTGGAAGAGACTTCTAGCGCCCGGCTGCTCTGATCGGTAGTTTTCTGTGATTTCTCCGATCAACACCAGACGAATGCCGGAGCAGGACCCTAACAAACGGGCTATGGACCACTTACTTACCCACCACTTACTTACACACACATTCACTACACTACCACACATACCTCTCCGATCAGCACGCACTTCTTATGCAATTGCACCCATTCCCGGTGCTCTGTTGATAAATTGAGAATAAAAAGTCTGAAGAAATGAAAGTGAAAAACATAATATGCTTATAGTCACTCTCATAAATGTAACAAATACTACATTTTTGTGAAAAAATAAATTAGTGCATTCTTTATCCTTTGTGATCAGTTTTCGATGCCAGAAACAAAACTTTTCATGTTTAGTGTTTTAAATGCCTGGTTAAGCATTTTGAAACATATTTTTAGTGCCTAAAACGTCATTTTTCGTTTCTAATAGTACCTAGTTTCATAATTTTGTTGTGTGTTTTCGAGGCCTAAATCATCACTTTTTGTGCCTATAATTCCGACGTCTAGTAATCTGTGATGTACATTTTTGTTCATGTTTCATGGCAGACAGTAAATACCTTGGTCACGCCTGTGTTATAGTGATTTAACTATGCTGATCCTTTTTCTGTATTCTGATTGGTAGCTGTGGAGTTCAAGTTGCAATTAACATAATGATAATCACCGACTTTTCTTGGAATTCATGTGCAGGTTAGTTAACTAAACGAAAGAGGTTTTTTTAAAGTACAAAGTTCATTAAGTGTCGTGTACATTACTGCATTAACCTGCATCGGATGCGCCGCCATTTGCGTTGCGCAGAGTCGGCGCTGAGCGGCGCTGAGCGGCGCAGGGCCATGGGCGCGGGCGAAGCGGGGCCGGCGGCGGCGGCTGCAGCGCGCCTGGTGCTAGCGGCGGTGCTGCTGCACTCGCTGGTGCAGTGCGCCGGCGCCAACACGGAGAACAACGCCCGCCTCACCACCAGCTTCGGGAAGCCGCAGCAGAAGCCGCAGGAGAGCCACCCGCCCAAGCAGAGTAAGTGCGCGCCCGCCCACGCAGCGGCGGAGGCTGCCGGTGGCCGGCTGCATCCATCTCCCTCCACCCACCGCTCCTCTCACACGGCGAGCTGCACCTACTACCACACACAACGGAAGCGTAGGGTGGTGCCGCGCGGTGGGAGAGATCTGAAGATGATGATCTTACGATCCAGCGCGGAAGGAACACCGCCATCTCCAGAGAAGCATCCTCTTCCCTCGCGTCACTGCAGACCAAGAACCGTTCAATCGTTGCAGAAGTGTAGGTCGGGAGGACGCATCACTTGCTGAGGGCATTCACATCGGCCATTCCGCTTGCCTCAGAGAGCACTGTTCCCATCTTTTCTTCTTCTGAATGTAACTACCAAATTTGTTTTTCTACTCTCATTGTATTATTAAGTCATTTGATGGCTCCAACCTGTTGCATAATGATACTCATTACGGTACAGATTTCGTTATAATACAGGTTCTTGACCAATCACAGAGAAGTTTACAAACCAAGTACTGACACTTATTAATCATTGAAAATCTTCCGAATAAATGTTTCGTTCCATAATCTACAATAAAATAGCATTTAATATTATATTATTATCAGTGTTAAAGTATTTTATTAGTTGTATTTTTTCGTGGAACATTATTTAAAGTAATTGGATCGTAATTTCACTTTCATCCTATTTGACTAGCGCAGTACTCCTTCGCAGGCGGTCTCTTAACCAAAGCCACCTGCGGCAAAGTAGGGAGGGTTAGGGTGCTGTCTTCTAGATGGCCTTGGCTGAATCCTGCATGTCATCTGCAACGAAACGATTCAATGTAAAAGTTTAACTTATAAAAGTTCCCATAAATCGTAGTAAAAGTTCTGTTCAAACTCGATGTAATGGGTATTAATAACTCGTGTGAAGTTTGTGTACGTACTAATACCCTTCATTACATCATTGTTTCATAATGGACTATTTTCTGATTAAGCATAACATAGATTCTTTAGTTGATATGACAAAATTAGCTTTGACCGAGTTATACACTTCGATTGCTTTAATGCGACTCGGAAACGATTCAGAAAGCCTGTGTCAGCGTGGGGTCACAAGAAAACATTTTTCTAACAGAGCACTTCCATTTAGTGTCATCGTTGTCAACTAGATCAGCACTAAGACGTCTCGTTTCGCCCTCGGATGAATAAAATCACCCCCCGGCAAGAGCCAGAACGTAAGCAGAGGCGGGGCAGGTGTGATCACCGCGGCGCGCGATGTAATGCTGGCCTTTCATTAGCAATACGTTTCCGCAATATCTTTCAGCAATTTGTTTCTGCTTCTTGCGGTCATCTTTACACTAGCAAGAGCAAGAAGTGGCAATATATTGTCAGAACGATCTGAGCAACATCTTTCCGGCAAGATATTGCCGATCGTTTTACATTAGGACTATTTGTTGCCGTGTTTGCTGACGGCGCGAAAATGGCGCTATAGAGGTGATCAAAACTAATCATTAGGTCCACCGTTTTCCCATTCCATCGCAATTCGACGCATGCAGTGTAATTTGTTCCATACTTCATTTAACAGTCACGCAACGTTGAGAGGGGTCAACGACAGATCCGCGTAGATTTCCCCTTTTCTGTGTTTACGTAAGGAGTAACACTTTCACCATCAAAGACGTTTATTATTAGAACCTTTACTAAGCTCAAATATTTACAAAACAAACCGAAATCATCGCTATGCGTAAATCTTCGTGGATAAGCCAGCGTTCTTGTACACCCAGAAAACGTTGCAATCTTATTTTAGTATCTGACAATGTCGAGAACAGTTGTGTAATCGAAGTGACATAGTGAATATTAAACTAGTTCTTGAAAAATGGACTTGGTCGTCTGTGTTCCCCCGGTGACAATCGCAAGAACAGAAAATAAAGAATAATAAATCTTTTATACAAACTCGAAGATGATCATAATATATTCATCAATACACGTCTCATTAGTTTTGAAATATAAAACAAATGTTCTTCTGCGATTTACTCTGGGGCCTTCGTTGATGACTTCCCGCCTGTGTTCTGCATTGCCATTGGTACGTTAGTTGTTATTTATGCAGTTGATGATTGACCAATAAAACTGTTTGCAGATACGAGTTCGCATATGCCATACCTCCCAAGCACATTCTCTATATTCATAATTCATCGATGGGAATGGAAAATAGGGATAGTAGTAAGACCTTATTTGTGTAGGGGAAGAGACGGATAACTCAATCATTCAAGTACACTTATTACTCCTGCGGTACACGTGCTAGTAACAGCGAATCGAGTAACAGTAGCTTTATCTCAGATGCATTATTTCAATGTCAGCTGGTCTTGCTACATAAACTGGCTATTGAATGGAATGGGCACGAACATAATTAATGAAATTGAAATTTTAAAACTTTACTAGCTACAATGTTTAACAATACGAATAATATGAAGAACTTTAGAAACGTGTGTCTGCTGTAAATTGTATTACACGCTCCTGTCTGCTGTTGCTTCACACGGATTGATTGAGACTTTTGTGGTGATGAAAACATGTGTGCCTATTGGCACAAATAGAAAGCAGACCTCTGAGAACAATAAAACAGAGGCTCTAAGAAGGACGGTGTTCTCAAAAATATCTGAGACGCTCTGTCAACGGGAAAACAGCTCTGTCACCTGGGAGATGGACCGCCTGCGCCGCAGGCGATTCGCCAGTTCAAAAGACACACTTTCAGTGGAGCACCAAATGAAACTGTCTTGGAAGGGTGGGCGCCGTCGTATCTCGTTCGAAGTGCTACAACTCTGGATGAGCCACATTTGGTGAAGATTACCTTCAATCCGTTTTTTGGTATGAAGATGATGATAAGAGACATATGGCGCGAGATGTTGGATCTTAAAGTTGTCTGTCCTCTCTCTTCGCTAGGAGGAGTCCTCGCATATCATTCATAGCCTTTTTCATAAAGATTTATTTATAAATTTAATGAACATTTTAATTGATTTCATTATTTATTAAAAAGAACTATTACAGAATATAAACATTTATTGAATTAATGAGACTTTTGAGTCTCAATTTCAATTGTCTTTCAATGTGAAGTGTCAGATGTTTCTGCATTGTGCCAGGTTAGGCGCATTCGCCTTAGAATCCACCCCTGACTTTGAAGCGTCGACACACGCAGCACCGCGAAATTTCTTCTGGAAGGAAGCCATGTAGACGGTCCAATGACGTAGAATGCGGAGATCTGCAAGTGGAGTGAGAGCACGGTTCTTTGTTCTACTTGGTTTTCAATTGGAACTGAAGAGATTTACGTTTATTTATTTTAAAAGAACTACGTATTAAAACACTTAAATCAACGACAAAACTCCTATTTCTATAATTAAAGATTCGAGATGGATACATTATTTCAAAATATGAATGGAAAATATGGTGGATTTTATTCAAAATTACTGTTACCATGAGTTCACGAACAATACTTGTAAAATTACAACACTCTCATCGCTGTCTTAATGCTTTATGAAAAAAGTGAACTGCTTATTTTAGGTAAACTTACGTTAAATTTTTTACATATACCAGAATAAAATATGAAACAAATGATGCAGTGTCGCTCTGGCAATGTGCTGGGCAGTAGCAGTGCAACTCATGTTACATTCGCCAGCAAAATTATAATCACGACACGCGCATACGTTTCATATACGAACCCGTTCTCCATGCTGATATAAAATTTGCATTTTTATCTGTTATCTATTACCTATGTTTATATTTCATCATACATAAAAATGTTCTGGGTGTTTCCATCGCCTAGAATAATACAACGGAGACTTTTAGAACGTTTCCCAAGTTGGGTCTCGCCGCCGCGAAGTGAGGTTTTCAAAGCCCCAAATGCAGGTTGCGTTCCCCGTCACTTCCCCGAACGCGAACTCGTGACGCGCCAAGCACGCGCTGCGGCAATGAAAACGAGATTACGGGAGCAGGGAACCGGAGCCCCTCGCTTTTCGCAAGGGAAGCACGGCAGGTGGGGTCTCGCGGGGGGGGGNNGGGGGGGGGGGGAGGTGGCCGAAAGGCGAAGCGGTGGCAGCGCAGCGACAAGGGGAAAATTCAAAATTGGAGAGAATAGGGGTGTGGGTTTTACAATTCCAGAATGTCTTTCTGGATTATGAGTTTCAATGAGATGAAATAAAGTACGAATTTTCAAAATACAAATGCCATGACTCAGTGTTGCGGATTAAAAAGTTAAAATGGCATATGTTATTGAACTAAGTATTTGAATGTACGTGGGTTAAAATTTATAATAGCACTAACACTAATAAGGAAAAGAACATAGCGAAAAAGCAAATATAAAAAAATATTTTAAAAATTCATTGCTTTTGAGTTTAAAAATACTTATATAGGGAGGTAAACAATTAACTGTTTTAAAAGTTCGGAGTTAATGAAATAGAAAGCGAATTATATTACAGTAATAAATTATAAATATAATCAATTATAAAACAGTAATTATATTTATATTTATATATAAAAAGGAAACTATTTAGTTATATGGTAGAGTGCAATCGCATTAATGAGTAACCAGATATCGGAAATAGTTCTTAGAGAAAACAAAATGTAGGCATTACTAATACAGTGTAGGTAACGTTCCTTTTAATCACGTGTACATGGATACCCCACGTATTTATGAACAAGTTAATGGAATATATTTTGATATTTACGAAGGGTATTTTACAGAAACTATTCAAACCTCCCAACGAGTACATCCGTCTTACCGGCAACAGCACAGTGAATACGGGTATGTTTCTGCTTCTTCCCATGACTGCCAAATCCGCTCGTCTTTCGTCATATCAAACTGTTCAATGCGCTTATTTCACCTTTTCGAGTTTTATCCCCAGTGCTTGCGCATGCTGGCTGCCTTTTCTTCGCGGGAGGCGAGGGCGGGTGCAGCGACAAAAAGGCCAGGTCGTTTGCCCGCTCGCCCGGCGCCGCCTAATGGACCGCGTCACGCTCTCGGGGGCCGGGGGGGGGGCAGGGAAGGGGGC